ACGGTGGCGCCCCACCTCCACCTCCCGACCCGTCAGAATAAATGAAGGCACGACAAAGGTGGGGATGATCAGGCGGGAGAGGTGAAGGAGAGGCAAGGTAGGCACGCGAACAAGGAAGCAAGAAGCGCTCGATGTCCTGCCAGCTCCTTGCAGGTGCCCACGACCAGGGTGCCTTAATCGCATCCAAGAGACCTGAGCACATTACTGTAGGTGACCTTATAGTGGTTGGGTTGCTACCCGGATCGCAATCATTGAGATCGCACGGGATCGGGGTGGCAGGTCCTGTTATCCCTGGGGATCCTCGGCATCTTCTTCTGCGGGCTCCTCGCCCTCTCCTCGAGCTCGCCTGACTGGCGAACGAGAGCTGTCTCGCTCCCTGCTGGGTGCCGCTGTCGAGCCGCCAGGGCTCCGCGGTGCCGCAGCAGGCGCTGGGTTGGCAACAAATGCAGACGATTGGACAGGTGCGCTGGCCGAGGGCATCAGAAACTGCGGAGGCGGCACCACTCCACTTGGCGGCGTCCTGGTGGCCGCCAGCAGCGCTTCGTGCTTCGCGTTCAGTATGTTGAACTGCGAGCCCAGGCTGTTGACGTTGCTGTCGATCCTTTGCTGGAACATGACCAAATTCTGTGAAATCGACGCCAGCTGGGACTGCACCAAGGCCAGATCCACCACCTGTCCAGGCTGAAGCCCAGGCTGCGCGGGCGCAGGCTGCGTCGGCGGCGTCCTCACCGAGGGAGGCGCGGCAGCCGCAGCAGGCGCACCACCTGGCTCCTCGCTGGCTTCGTCGGTCTCCATGATACCTGGCTCTCCCAACGGCTCGGCGTCGACGGGCTCCATGGCTTCGATCTCCATCAGCGCCTGCTGGTGCCGAGAAACCCACTGATCGGAAAGGTCTCGCTTGACTCTCAATTCGTCCAGCTCGGCCTCTTTGTTTCGAATCTCCTGCTCTTGAGCCTCCAACTTCGCCTGCGACCTCTGAAGCGCCGCCTTTTGCCGATCGCGCTGTTGATGCCGAGGTCGGCAAAGGTGGATGGCTGTGAGCAACACTGCATACCAATCTCGCTCGTCCTCGCTGGCATCCCCAGCTTCTTCCTTCATGCGGATTGTGGCGGCAAGAACTTTCATTTCGGCCCTTCTCCTGCTGATGTATGTCTTCCGATCGGACTCTGTAGCATTCTCGCCAGGCAAAAGTGGAAACCGATGATGATATACTGCCATGGCGGGAAGGGCTGGTAATATATTGAGTGGCGCTGAAACATTCGTCGTCCCATCCTCCTCCTCGTCCGCGAAAGTCACAGAAGGTGATATCGCCCTTTGTTCCTGCCGCTGCTGTCCTCTCCTTGGCCCTCTTGACGACCGTCTTGACTGTGTCTGTGCCGACTGTGACCCTCCTGTGGCAGCACCCTGGGCGTTCCTCACCCACGGTTCTCGGACCATGCCGTATGCCATCGAGGGCTGAGAAGAAGGCCACGCACTCGGAACTTGGCTTGACATCATTTGCGGCGGCTGGAACTGTCTGCCACGCTGCTGGCCAGGCACACGAGGAGGGGCTTGACCGCGACCGCTGGGCATCTGAGGAGACAGATCGGGCATGCACGTAGTACAGAAACTGGAGGCAAAAGAATTGACTCCACCACATATTTCACACAACCAACTGTCTTGCATCCGAGACTGAGACGAGTGATGCTGGCTGAGACGAGATGCAGCGGCGGCAACGCGGAGCAGCGTGCGGTCGAGAGACCTCTGATGCCGCTCTCGTCTGTGCCACCCTCCGTCGGACGGAATTGCGGCGGGCCACCAGCGGCTGGCGGCTGGCACGCGAGGCCTCTGAATCTGGCGGGGAAAACGCAAAATTGCCAGAAACAAAACCAACCACCAGGAAATGTCTCCAGTGGCCTGGGCCTTAGGAGGAGGAGAAGGAGGAGGAGGAGGAGGAGGAGGAGGAGGAGGAGGAGGAGGAGGGGGAGGGGGAGGGGAGGGGAGGGGGGGGGGAGGGGAGGGGCAAGGGGAGGAGGGGGTGGAGGGGGGGGAGGGGGGGGGGGGGGGGAGGGCGGAGGAGGAGTAGGGGGGGGGGGGAGAAAGAGGAGGAGGGGGAGGAGGAGGAGGAGGGAGGAGGAGGAGGAGGAGGAGGAGGAGGAGGAGGAGGAGGAGGAGGAGGGGAGGGGGGGGGGAGGAGGAGGAGGAGGAGGAGGAGTAGGAGGAGGAGGAGGAGGAGGAGGAGGAGGAGGAGGAGGAGGAGGAGGAGGAGGGGGAGGAGGAGGAGGAGGAGCAGGAGGAGGAGGAGGAGAAGGAGGAGGAGGAGGAGGGGGAGGAGGAGAGGGAGGAGGCGGAGGAGGACCAGAGTAAACCAAGGACGCATCAGCGATGCTGTACCACACCCTCCGGTCACAAGTCCCCTCCTCATACGTCCCTCCAAGTTTCATTTTCACTGCAATACGCGCCGCGCTTGAAAGACCACAGTTAGGTATGGCATTGTGGCGATGGCCCCGCTTTGAAGTAGATGTGCCTTGCATAGTTCTGGCGCGTTATGGGGGGCGCGAACATGCGCGAACGATGATCACACAGTCCAGCGAGGTGTCTAGTGAGACCCCTTTTCGACACATCTGTATAACAGTTTCACAACTGTACACTTGTGGCCATGAACTTCGAGGTAATCGTAAGCGCCAGCCTCAGTTTGAAAAATATTCGCCCTGGACCCGTGCATCGCTACATGCGTTGACATGTTGTTTTCTGGTGTTCTGGAAACGCGCGATAGCTACATGCTGAATTATCCAGGCGAAGAGCTCAGCCATATGCAGCTGCGGGTATCGCGAGGCAGGTGAGACGAAAGAGAAAGGGGCACGACACGTGTGAGGGGTGTGCCGACATAGGTGCGGTGTCGCCATGCGGACGTTGCCATTGGGGCCTCGGCGGATCTCCTTATCGGGCCACGAAGCGGTTGAGGAGTTTGCCGAAATGGGCGCGGTGCCGCCATGCGGACGCTGCCAATATGACCTTCGGCGTAGCTCCTTGCGTGGCCACTGCGTGAGGGGTTTGTCGAAATGGATGCAGTGCCGCCATGCGGACGCTTCCACTTGTGCTTTCGGTGGTGCTCCCTATGGGGCCAGAGCTCCCTGTGGGGCCCAGAAACGTGTGAGCGGTGTGCCGACATGGGCGTGGTGCCGCCATGCGGACGCTGCCACTGGGGCCTTCGACGGAGCCCCCTGTGGGTCCACAAAGCGTTCGAGGTGTGTGGCGAAATAGGCGCGGTGCTGCCATGCGGACGCTGCCATTGGGGCCTTTGGCGGAGCCCCCTATGCTTCCACGACGCGTGTGAGAGGTGTGCCTGGGTGCGGTGCCGCCATGCGGACGCTGCTACGGGGGCTTTCGACGGAGCTCCCACCTGGGGCCACGGAACGTGTGAGGGGTGTGCCGACATGGCGGTGCCGCCATGCGGACGCTGCCACCAGGGCCTTCGGCTTGGCGAAGCTCCCATCTGGGGCCACGGAACGAATGAGGGGTGTGTTGACATGGTGGTGCCGCCATACGCTGCCACCAGGGCAGGGCCACGAAACGTGTGAGGGATTTGTCAGAACAGGTCCAGTGCCGCCATGTGTGACGCTGCCGCTGGAGCCTTCGGCGGAGCTCCCTACGGGGCCACGAAGCGTGTGAAGGGTGTGGCCAAATGAGTGCGGCGCCACCACGCGGACGCTGCCACAAGGACCTTTCGGGGGAGCTCCCTGTGGGGCCACGAGACGCGTGACGAGTTTGCCAGAAGGGATCCAGTGCCGCCATGCGGGCGCTGCCACTGTGGCCTTCGGCGGAGCTCCCATTAGGGCCACGAAAGGTGTGAAGGGTGTGGCGAAATGTGCGCGGTGAAGCCATGTGGACGCTGCAACTGGGGCATTCGGCGGAGCTCCCATATGGGGCCAGGAAACGCGTGAGAAGCGTGTCGAAATGTGCATGCGGAAGGCAGACGCAGGGAGAGGAGGAGGGAGGGAGGGGGGGTACTGGATAGGAGGAGAGGTGCGGGGCATTGCCTTCAAACCGAGGACCAATCACCACATGGTTGGTTGGGAAAGAAAACAACAGTCTTCCGTCCAGAAGCGCGCGGCATTCATGCAAGAGCACCATCTTGAAAACGACCAGTGCTTCTTGTGTGAAATTGTTACAGGTGGTGAGACGAATGTTCGCGGCCGTACGGCGAGAGGCCCAGTTAGAAAAGCCACCATTTTCCTTCTGTCAAACTATTGCAGAAGTCTGAAAATATTGTGTGCGGTGCAACGGCGGGAACTCCATTTTGAAGACGATCCGCCTTTCCGTCTTTGAAGTTGCTGCAACATTTTAGGCCGAATGTGCGCGGCGCTAAGGCTAGAGCCACAGCTTTAACATTGCCCCCCTCCACCCACGACGCTGTTGCAAACTTGTACGCAAGACGAATGTGCTTGGTGCGAAGGAGAGAGACACCATTTTAAGAACAACCACCTCCATCTGTGAAATCTGTTGCAAGCCTTTTCAGGCGAATGTGCTCGGCGCTAGGGCGCGAGCCACTGTTTGAACCCCCTCTCCAACCGTCAAACTTTTGCAAACTTGTAGGACGAATGTGCGCGGCGCTAAGGAGAGAGCCAAATGTTGAAAGTCCCCCCTCATACTTTGTTGGTCAACAGGCTCGCGAGGCGGGTCGAAAGCCGTCCGAACACTCGCGACTAGGCAGCAGGAAAAGAAAGGCAAGCGAAGCGAGCGAGCGGGCAGCCACTCAGAAGGAGAGCCAGAACCGATACTCCCAAACCCGGTGGCGTTGGAAATCCCGGTGGCGACCAGCAAGTAAGCGCAGCCAAAATGGCGCGCCCCCCCCCCCATACGGGAGGAAGTCTCAGGCAATACGCTTGGGCCGCCCTACCGACGCGCCTGGGAGGACGACAGGGGGGAATAATCTACGCAAAAGCAGGAGGAGGGGGTGCGACAGGGCTGGAGGAGGAGGGAGGAGGAGGAGAAGGAGGAAGAGGAGGACCCGCGGCGAGGTACTACGTGCAAGAGGTGTGCGACATGGGGTACTCGATCGACGGGTCTGGCTGGACCTCTCTCTTCGATGTAAGGGGGCAACATCACCCTTACTTGCGATCCTGTCAGGGCCCCGTGCAGGATGGAGGGACAGATTTTGGAGGAGAGCGCCTCTGGAAACTCTCAGGATAAGAGGGCGAGCCTCCACTTGGGGGAACGTGCAGTTCCTGGTGAAACGAGGGGGGAGGGGGCGGGGGGGGCGACGAAGAGGAGGACCGAGAGGGGGTGGCAGGGAGGAGGAGGAGGAGGAGGAGGAGGAGGAGGAGGAGGAGGAGGAGCCCAAGGCGCATCAACGATGTTGCACTGAACCCTCCCTCCAAGTTCCTTTTCACAGGTTACCACAATAATTTCTCTCAAAGCTGGAACGGCTCATTGAAAGACAACCGTCCGATAATCTCTAAGCATGACAGAGTGTCTTCCTGGGACTTAGTGTCGCGAATCGACGTGATTGCTGTATCATGGCAATCATAAATCGTGCCACAGCACTACCCCTGGGATTGCAGCGCTGCGAGCCAACGTGATTGTTGCACCCTGAAGAATCGTGCCAGAAACCACGCCTGGGATTGCAAGCTTACGACTCCTTGGAACGGCTGCAAACTTTTAAGACGAATGTGCGCGGCGCTAAGGCGAGAGCCACATTTGAAAGGAAGCCGCCCTCCATCCTTGAAGATGCTGCAAACGTTTGAGACGAATGTGCGCGGCGCTAAGGCGAGAGCCACATTGTGAAAACGGCCCGCCCTGCATCCGTGAAAATATTGCAAATTAGAAGCTTCAGGATCATTAGTGGTGAGGAAGGAAGTCCCAGGCGAAACGACCAGCCGGCCCTGCCTGACACGCCTGGGGGCGCGACAGGGAGGAGTTCTTTCTCAGGAAAAGTGATGAAGGAGGAGGGGGGGGAGGATGGAGGGAGAGAGAAAGGGAGGGATGGGGGAGGGAGAGAGGGACGGAGGGAGGGAGAGAGGGAGGAAGGGAAGGAGGGAGGGAGGGAGGAAGGGAGGGAGGGAAGGAGGGAAAGAGGAAGGGAGGGAGGGAGGGAGGGAGGGAGGGAGGGCGGGAGGGAGGGAGGTAGGGAGGGAGGGAAGGAGGAGGAGGAGGAGGAGGGGGAGGGGAAGGAGGGGGAGGAAAACGGCGGGGGGGACAAGCTAGGCGCGCTCGCGCCATACCTGGCATCCTACTCCTCCCGCCCATCCATTCCAAGTGCACTATTTGTTTATATCCGCCGACGCGTGTCATCATGGACCTGGAACTCCAAAGGGGACTTCATCGTGTTATGCGCAATCAAGAGAATTACGTTGCTTGCAATTGAGGAGGATGTGGCGGACGAGCAGGAGGATGAGCACGAGGAACAGGGGGAGGACGAGGACGAACAGCAGCAGCAGGAATGGGAGTGGCAGGAGCGGAAGGAGTAGGAGGACCACGGGACGGCGGAATAGGGGAAATGACGTGGGCGGCAACGATGGAAAAGGCATGCATAAAAAAGGGTACGTGTTGGGGCGAGGGCGTCGTTATGGACGACGGGAGCACAGCGCCGATCCGAAAATGGAGCCCACGCTGCAGCGGGAGCACCGTATTGAAACTCCAGAAACAACAGGAATGCAAAACACCGTGCGACAAATCATTGTTTTCCAGCCGTGTGTTGCTTACCCTGGCGACGTACCCGAACCTTAAGTAACGCGTGGCCAGAACAGTTGGACATACTTTGCTCGATACGATGGTACGGCAAGGACTTGTATGTGTTGCGAGCGCTACGTGGGAGGCTCGCGAGTCGTGCGACTCGCAGGTCGCCGATCGACGGACAAGGGCTTGATGAAGGTAGTTACTTAAGTCCCTGACTCGACGGGGGAGAGAGCGAAGATTGATGGGCGAAGGCAGGCGGGGAACTGAATCGTCAGCGAGGCAGCAGCGAGAGGAAACGGCAGAAGGAAGGGGGCGACGACGAAAGAATGCCAAAGGAAGGACAGTCACGATGCTCCGAGGCACGCTGACAACCAGATGCAGTCAGAGCACGAACCCCGCGAGGCCGAGCTGCACTGCCAGCTGCTCGGCCTCTTCCTGGCATGCCCCAGCGCGGGAGGTAAAGGCAAGGCAGGAACGCCGCGAGGTCCCCGGGTGGCCTCCGAGAAAGGGACTGCAGCCCAGGGTCCCAGATCATCAGGATGTGGTCGGCCGGTTCTGGAGAGCACCACGTAGAGAAAACATTTCAGGCTGTCCAGGTCGTCGTCGTCGTCGTCGTCGTCGTCGTCGTCGTCGTCGTCGTCGTCGTCGTCGTCGTCGTGTGTGCACCCCGCGTCGATGATGGCTCCGTCGCGCATGGGCTTGAAACCACTGCGCCAGGCGCCCCCCGGCAGCCCTCGAATGTGGCGACAGCCTCGCAGATAGCAGCCCCCCCAGGGATGGCCGCTGGCCTCTCCAGCAGCCCTTGGAAGTGGCGACAGCTTCGCACTTCGCAGCCCCCCCCCCCCCAGGATGGTGATGTCTAGTCTGAGACGGCGCCCTGTACCCGCTGCGCTGGCCCTCCACGCAGCCCTCAAAAGTGGCGACAGTCTTGCAGGCGGCAGCCTCCCAGGGACGGCGGGGTCTAATCTGAGTCCGCGCTCGGTGCCCACTATGCTGGGCTTTCCGGCAGCCTTCGAAAGCTGCGGCAGTTTCGCAGCTCGCAGTCCCCCGCAAGGATGGCGAGGTCCAATCTGGGCTTGCGGTCGGTCACTACGCTGGCCTTCCCAGCAGCCTTCGAAAGCGGCGGCAGTTGCACACTTCGCAGCCCTCTAGAGATAACGAGGTCGAATATGGGTCTGCGCTCGGCACCGATTACATTGGCCCCTCAGCAGCCTTCGAAATCGGTGCCAGTTTCGCATGTCACAGCTTTCCAGGGATGGTGAGGTCTAGTTTGTGCTTGCGTTCAGTACCAACTACGCTGGCCCTCCCAGCAGCCCCCGAAACTGGCGACAGCTTCGCAGATCGGAGCCCCCAGGGACTGTAGCCCCCCAGGGATGGCGAAACCTAGTTTCTGCGTTCGGTACCCACTACGCGGGCCTTCCCAGCAGCCGTCGAAAATAGCGGCAGCTTCGCAGAGCGCACCCACCCAGGGATGTCGAGGTCCAGTCCGAGTTTGTTCGTTGGTACATAATGTTTTTGTTGGTTTGTTTTTTCCGGGGGCCTCTTGGAGGCAATTTGCACGCCTTTTGGAGCCTATTTTGGAGCCTCTTGGTGTTTTTGTGGGGGGGGGTTGGCGGCCTCTTGTGGCCTCTTGGGGGCCTCTTGGGGCCTTCTGGGCGCCTCTTGGGGCCTCCTGGGGGCTTTTTGGGCCGGAAGGTTTGGATTTTCGGTTTGTGTTTCCTCATTCGAGCCCTTTTTTGGGCCGTGTTGGGGCCCTATTGCGCTGTTTTAGGCGCCTCTTGGGCTGTGTTGGGGCCGTTTGGGGGCCCTCTTGGAGGCCTCTTGGGCCGTCGTGGGGCGGTTTGGGCGCCTCTATGGCCGTCTGGGAGCGTCGGGAAACCGAGAAGGCGAGAACGTCATTCAAAAAACAAGAAAAACATCAATGATTTGGGCCTTTTGGGGCCCTCTTGGGAGGCCTGTTTGGAGGCCTCTTTGGGCGTTTTGGAGGCCTCTTCGGCCATCTGGGGGCCATCTGGAGCGTCTTGGAGCGATCGTTCGGCGAGTCGGGGCCCTCTTCGACTGTCCCCGGGTCTTTCCGGGGCCTCCAGGGCCGGTCATCGGGCCTTCGGGGCCCGAAATTTTCCTGCGGGAGCATTCGGGGGAACTCCGGAGAACCAGGGGCAACCCCAGAAGATTTGAGAGCGAGGGGCCCGGGCCCCCTCAAGATTCCCCAGGGGTGAGGATTGAGGATTGGGCCCAGGACCTGAGGACACACGCCCATTCCGTGCCCAGCGGTACCGCGGCGGTGTCTGGTTGGGGGGGCAAGAAGGAAGGGGGGGCCGAGGGAGGGGAGGGGATGGGACGGGGGGAAAGAGGGGGAGGACACAGAGTCGCGGTGGGCACGGTGGGACAAGCGTTGCGTCCGCTCCTTCGCCCTCCTCTCCCTCTTCCTTTGTTTCTCTTTCCCTCTTTCGCTCTATCTATATTTCTGTCTTCCTCCGTATCCTCCTCCTTTTCCTCCTCGTCTTCGTCCTGCGCACTAAGTCCACATCCACCGACCCTTCCAGGTGTTGGGTGAGGGCCGGGAAAGTTTTTTTTGTTGAAAAAAAAAGGAGCGAGGAGGAGGACGAGGAGGAGGACCAGTGGAAATCCAAGACTCATCAACGATATTGACAATATCTCCTTACAACATCCGTGTTCATAAGCCCCTGCTGAGGATTCATTGTCACTGGGGGAAGTGCTTTGCTGGAATACAACCGTTCCAGAACTGAGCCATAACGCCATGTGTAGGATTCCAACGCCTCGAATTACTGTTACTGTTGCGTCTTGCCGATCCTGAACCGTGCCAAAGCTCCATTTCAGAGATTTCAACACCACTAATCAACGTAATCGTCGTGCCTTGATAGTCCAGCATCGTGCCAACACATCATTCCTTGTGTGGTAACCTTGCGAGTCCTTGAAACTGTTGTATGCTTCCTGTGTCTAACTTCTAAAACGACTGTGCGCGACGCTAAGGCGAGAACCACATTTTGAAAACGGCCCGCCCACCATACGTGAAATTGTTGGACACTTTTATACCGAGTGTGCGCGGCGCTACGGCCAGAGCCACATGTTGAGAACCACCCGCCCTCCATCCATGAAGCTGGTCTTATTCTAAGCTTCAGGATCATTAGTGATGAGGAAGTGTCATGCGAAACGCCCAGCCCGCCCTGTTGACCAGCTTCGGGGTGTGAATGGGAGGAATTATCGATCAAGGAGAGATAATTATGGGAGACATATTGGGTGCCTCGGGGGTCCTGTTGAAGCCTTGTGGGGGGCCTCTTGGGAGCCTTTCGGAGGCATCTTGGGCACATCTTGGGGCCGTCTGGGCGCCTCTTCTGGCCCTCCTGGGGCGCTCTTGGGTGCCGTG